CTCGTTATATACCGCTCTTACTTTTTCCTCATTTACCTGAGATGATGATCGCGTTTCTTTAATACGTTAGCAGGTCCGTTCTCTTAAAAGAATAGCTTTAGCGATATATATCATCGAATTCAATCCTCGATATGCATCCCGCGAATCCCTCTGACATAGACTCGTTTCTATGCCGATGTACATGTACTGAATATTGTTGAATTGCGTGTCTGCAGAATGCTTTATGTTAAATTCAAACTCCTTTATCTCATAATTATCGATCTGCAATATCAAAATAGCGCCAGATTTTTTCCTGCCGATCCTAACATTGATACTGTCCCAAACGAAATGCTTCTTCGGAAATATGACTTCTTCAAAATCGAAGTCAAATACTACGCGTAAAAATCCGTTTGAAATCATTATAGTCATGTATTTTCCAGAAATATTGGAGAATAGATCTAATAGAAATCCTTTCAGATTCCTTACCGTAAAGCTAACGCGTATTTTTTCAGAGATAGTGGAACGCCGGCTACTCGCGAAATCGTATTTTATCATTGAATTAGGTTTCATGTATACGCCAATTTCGTTTGCACAAATTGGTCCCTTAAATGTGATCCATCGGCAATCGTACCAGTATCCATTATATACTTCATGGCACATGCCATTGTTAAAGCAAGGATTACTTTCACATCTACCAACTTTCCGTAACGCCGTACAATCTTCGTCGATCATTTCAAGTCTTGCAATTGAGAAGTAGTGCTCTTATGCAACCGGTGTATCCGTCCTACTACGAAGTCTGATGTAAGTCTGATGCAACGATGGACGCACTGGACCCGGAGGTTCTCGCACTTCATTCTTCATTGCTCCATCGATGACGATTCGGGCTTTCTTTCTTCTGACATGAAGAATGCTATTTATCGTCACCCAAATTGTAAGATGTTTATATGCTAATGGTAAGCGGCCCTCCACCGATCACATACTGGAAATATATTTGGTTTCCATTGTGTATGGAAACTTTGATATAATTGGTGGATCCTTTGCTATAAATAATTACAGCCTGGATAGTGATTTTAAACTCGAAATAAATATCGCCGCTATCGTCCAATATCAAAGGTCGGCAAGTTGATAGCATCTCTTATGCGGAACTACATTCTTGAATAAATCATCGCCTTCGCAAATAAGCGGGCCTAATGTATGACCTTCTTTTTCATCAGGGTACCAGTATCATCAAAACATAATTGTTTAACAGGAAGATGTTCCTTCTTTCTAATCTCCTCACTATCTATAAACCATCCATTCAGATCGCAGTTGCACCACTTGGTTATATCTGTACATTTTCCTTCTATACCGCACTCACATTTTCGCGACCTGGACAATGCGCCACCCTAATAATCCATCTTCTGATTATTCCGACTGATGACACCATGAATTCGGTTTAAAATAATCATCTGGAGGAATTCATATTCTTATATGCCTGGCATAATAAAGGATTTAACGAGATATGACAAACGGCATCGGTGTACCCAGTATTAGAACAATCACAGAAGAATTCATTAGAATTTTGACGGCAAACACCGAAATGTTTGCAAGGATTTGGATTCTAGGACAGCGATCTACCATCTAGTCATCAACAACAACTTCAAAAACAACTTCTTGCAACAGTCCTTCCAGTCGGTCGGCAATTTATAATTTCCATCGATACTTATCATTCTCATACAGCCAACAAAGTCATGATTGCTCTCCGATCCGATCGTACCACAAATAAAATAATATGATCCAGTTATCATATCCAAGAGATGCTCTGTTTTCATCGAGCGTCTGTTGACATTTAAAATAAGCGAATTTTTGGCAATCGTCAAGATTACTTGATGCCATTTCTCGTCGTTGAACTTCTCGTGAAAATTGTCCAAGTGCGTGATCGGATTGTTAGGATTTATATATCGACTTTCAGTTTACCTTCTTCCAAATATAACTTGACGAAGCCCGGACTCTTAAACTTATGATAAAGAATTATGCCTTTCTCTTCGTATAATCAAAACGCGAGAGAAACGTTCATAAATGATATGCTCTCATAGCCTCTCAATAAGATACAAAAGTTAAAAACGTGACAGATATTATCGAAGGTTCCGGATAAGTGTAAAGCTGTGTGTTAATCTTGTAATATCGTAAATTCTCATGATTTTCGTTTCCTTCAGCTCGCAAATTATATTCATCGAGTTTAGATAAAAATTCTCTATGCAACCGGTAAAATTTTGGACTACCACCAAGCCATCCTGTTTGTTAGGCACACCGCCAATGTAAAACTCTCGATTTAAATCCACAGTCAATGAAATACTCCTTCTACCTTTAATCAAAACTCTGTCAATAAAAAAACTAAATATCTTTCCGATTACGTGAGATCACAACGTCGTGTCACGTGTTATCGTCCAAAACACTGACAGATAGATTTATCATAATACTGGATTCAAGATTAACTTGTTGTTATGCAATTGCAAGGCTATATAATAATCACTCTGCGTACCACGAGAATACATTAATACGCCATCAGTATTATTTGTTTTAAATCGAAAACGATATAGAATGTCTATCGGTCTCGATAGGTTCTCTAAGTAAATCCAATCGTATCAGAGAGGATCCATTAAAGGAAGCGATATCAGATACATAATCGCATCCGTAAAGTTCGACTCTCAGCGATATCCTGTCTCGTGTTGGATTTATTCTATAATTAAATTGTTCAATTATCGATACGTTAAATTTGTTAAGTCTCTTTATACTGTCTCTGTCTATGTTACCTTTAAACATCTCATTTACATCATCCTGGTCATTTACATCATTCATAAGTAATCCAAGCTTGATCAAGCTAAACCATCATCTGAATAATACACGCATTCATTAATATGCGCTCGCCCTCGCGTAGAAATGCTGCGTATCTCATATCTGTCTCCCAGCTCCATAGTAAGATATTGATTATAACTGCTAAGTTTTGGTAACCACGCGGAATCTCCATGTAGCCTAGCATACCTTGTACGATCTTCTCTTGGGCAAGGAAGTTGTCGCTATTATATCGAAAAGAGGAAAGATGCATTCGTCGTCATTGTAGTACTTTCCTATTTCTTGCTTTTCATTATTTTTTACATCTTATTTTCTTGCTTCTTATCCGGTTTTATGTTTTATGTCGCCCGAGATAAAAATTAACGAACTTCGAAAGAAACAAGAAATACGTAGCAAGAAATATAATTATCTATAAAACGGTTGTAAAGGAGAAAAAAGCAAAAGGTAAAAAGCAAGAAACAGAAAACAAAGAACACAGAATTTGTAGAATAGGCTTAAGTCATAAAGAAAATTAGCACGAATAAATAAGAAAAAAATATTTTTTCTTGTTAAGTTAAATTATTAATGCATACAATACCGAAAATAATATTTTATTTTTTTAGTATTAAAATATTTTAAATATTTTTCAAAAGATATGAGGAATTAATATGAATCCAGTAATACGTACCACAAGATTTTAAGCTTGTCCCTATTAATGTGCCCTGTATGGAGCTGAGAACGTTGTGTTATGAACGTACATTGAAATAAATATAATTGAAATAATGATTTATGTAATATTAACTTAAATTTATTACCTATTTTAGTAATTATATGTTAAAATGAGTCAAGTGAATAAGCACACAAATTGGGAGCACATTAACAGGGACCATTGCCGTTTGGAGGACTCACTAATAGAGACAAAAACGTTTTTTATTTTGGTTAAAAACATTATAAAATATTAACATTTTTTAGATTAAAGAAATATTATAAGAAAAAGAAATAGTTGAAAAACCGGTATTGATTGCAAGCAGATAAAATTAAAGCTACAATATTTAATAATTCAGTAATAAGTAAGTCGGTTAAAAGGCACATTAATAGGAACAGTTAGACTAATTCTACAATGTGCTCTTTGTTTCCTGTTTCTTGCTGTTTGTCTCTTGCCTTTTTACTCAATAAGACAAGAGACAAACTGCAAGAAACAGAAAACAAAAAGCACATTGTAGAATTAGCCTTACTCTACAAACATAAAATAAACAAAGAAACATGCCACGGCCATTTGACGTTTTATTACGTAATATTACAAATAGGATAAAAGAAACAGAGGAAAATTTTATAAAAAAGAATGAAAAGGCGCAGTTCCTTATATTTCTATCAATTATAATGTTATTTTAATTTTAATTTAAGTTACTATTTTAATTTTGATTTAATTTACTTTTTATTTTTTCTCGAGTTCTAGAAATTAGAAAAAATAAAGAAATAAAGAGATCAAAATTGATCTCTCTGGAAGAAATGAATATAAATGAACCAATGTCTTGCAGTAACTAATTGGAGTCTTTAAAAGAAAAACAAGAGATTCAGGGAAAACGACAATAGTTTTTAGTATTTCTATAATATTTCATGTATTTTTTAAGTTTACGAAAAAAAATCTTTTTTTAGGACACAAATTTGAATCTAACCAGCAACAATAGCTTAACATTTCTAAATATAAAAATAGGTGATATTATATAAAAATGTCTAATTATGGAATTGATTTTATAGCGCTGAACAGGCATGTCGAGCATGAATCAGACATGTGCTTCAATATGCTCTATCACTGAAAACATATGTATGCGCACGATTTTTTGGAACAATACCGTGCACGTGACCGGTGTCTACAAAAATATCCACGCACGCACAAATTTTAGCAACGCGCTCCTCAGTTCTCTCAGTCGCGTATACATTTTATTTTGACAACAAATGATTGTCGTTATATCTCCGTCATGATAAACGAAATTATGAAATCTGGACATGTATATAGGAAACTTTACTTTAAATCGTTTAAATAATATGCAGTAGTTAAAATTAAATTATTTTAAGATAAAAATGTGCTAATAATCCTGAAATAATTTTAATAATGATAATAAAAGATGTAAAAATATATGATTTCTAATAAGGCGAGAGAGCCCTGTGCTACTTCTAGGCACGATACTGTCGAAGAAAAATCACGTTGCTGTTGGTACGCATGCGCACGAAAAAAACGTCGAGAATACTCGAGCTTGATCGAACGAAGGGTCGGAATGGTGGGGTCTTTCTCACGGTTGCTCACGGTTTGGGAACACTGACCGCGCGACTCTGCAACTTTGCGTCAGCTCGCGCGCGACACGACGGTACCAGTGTGATGTGATATTGCTGTGCGCCATCGCGTCGCATTGTACGTATGTTTGGCGCGCAGCGTGAAATTTATGTACGACGCAGCAGACTAAGCCACTGTTCACATCAAACCTGTGTGCCGGGACCAATAAAAAGAAAGAAGTAGACTGGGTCGACAGGTGATCGTCTGTAATCATCTGCATCTGCAGACTGCAACGTGCACGTGGTGACGACGAGCCCGAGGTCAGCCGTGTCGACGGAACATGGCAGCTAAAATGCAGCCCCCATTCGAGCCACCGAGCTCGGCGAGTTCTGAGAGGTATGTGTGAGGAGTTTCCTCTTTTTTTTTTAAATTTATTTCATAGCACATTTCCACTCATCAACGTCCATTGAAAATCAACGAAATTTCTATTGCTGATATTTTGCTAGCGACGACGGCGACGCGTGTTTGGACGATCGCGAGATATTCCTCGCCGATGAGTTATGCGAGGATGTTGAGCATTACAGGCATTCTGACGTAGGCACGCCACAATCCCCGAGACCACCGTCCACAGGTAAATTTATTTGTTATCGGCTTTCTTGTAAGATTTCAGTCTGATATGCCTGATCTCGAAGAGCAACTTTCTTCTAACATCTACCTAAAACTCATTCTAATCTAACGTGTGGTAGTGATTTACTTTTTTTATTAACAAGAACCTGTTAGTAGAACCTGTTTGTAGCATTAGTAAGATAGAATTATGTTAATACATCTAATGACGTACATAAATTTCTTACGTACGTATACAAGTACGTAATATGTATTTATATATGTTTGTGATAACAGAACGATATTTATGTGTGATAACTTACATCTGTTATTAATTGATAATGAATCATCTTTAATATATAGATTGTCTCAGGAATATATATAAATATTTTATGAATGAAATAATCGTAATAAGATAAAATATGAATAAAATATGAATAAAATATGCTTACATTATAAATAATACGTATAGATAATAGGATAAGTAATATATGTAAATAATGTTAGTGTACATATGTCATATTTATTAAGTATCCCACATATGTATAGTATATATAGACGCATTGTTTACAGAATCAATGCTTCAATGTACCTGTAAAAGAAGATTCAAACAATTCATCGTCTTTTCTTAATGAGCTCCTAGAAGACATTTAATATGAAATATATAGAAGGTTTTCTTCTTACTTTTAATCCTATTCCTATTCCTTTGATTAATTAAATCCTTTATTACAAATAAAATTATATAAGGGATTATGTAGCCAAAAAATAAATATCAATTATTATGTGGAGATATAAAGATAAGATATTTATTATATAATTAAACAGGTTCACAAAAGTCACCACGATCACGAAGGCAGCGCACTACTAGCATGTCACAATCAAGTAAGAAGACATCTGCAGAATCCATTCTCAGGAGCAAAACGCGAACTATTTATACAGCTGGTAGGCCTCCTTGGTACAATTCAGCTGGTCAACAAGTAGAACCTTTTGTAATTGGTTAGTGACATTTACTGTTAATTTAATTACAATGATTTTTAATTTATAACTTGATGGGTGATTTAAATTTTTTATATGAAATAAATGTAAATTTTGATTACTGATGAATATATTTGCGATAGGTATTTGTGGAGGCAGCGCTTCTGGAAAAACGACAGTGGCAACTAAAATCATAGAATCTCTAGATGTACCATGGGTGACCCTTCTTAGTATGGATTCTTTTTATAAAGTGCGTTAAATATTATAATAATATTATTTATTAAAAATATCTTGTACAAATTTGTCATTAGCATGATGGAAAACAATTCAATAATACTGTAGACACTACTGAATATTTATCTTATATTTTTATTTATGTCTTTATCTTATATATTTATCATATAGGTATTAAATGAGAAGCAGCACGAAATGGCTGCACACAACGAGTACAATTTTGATCATCCTGACGCATTCGATTTTGAACTTCTCAAGACTACGTTGCAGCGTTTAAAGGAAGGACGCATGGTAGAAGTTCCTATTTATAATTTTGTAACACATCGTAGAGAAAGTAGAACGGTAAGTTGATTGTGGTTTTTACTTAATATACAAGAAATCATCGCAATTTATACAATTTTTTTCTTTTTTATTCGAAAGAAAACCATGTATGGTGCTAACGTCATTATCTTCGAGGGAATACTTACTTTTTACAATGTCGACGTCTTGAAGGTAAATCGGTAAAAAAATAAATTAATTTAAAGATTGGGAAAATATATCGAAAGAGAATAAATAGATAAACGTTTCAAGCTGTGCGATATGAAAGTTTTCGTCGATACTGATGCGGACGTCAGACTGGCCAGACGTTTACGAAGGGATATTTCGCAAAGAGGCAGAGATCTGGAGGGTGTATTAAAGCAGTATAGTAAACATGTGCAGCCGGCTTTTTATTATTACATAGCACCTCTTATGGTCCATGCTGATATTATTGTGCCGCGCGGAGGAGAAAACGAAGTGGCAATAGAGCTAATTGTACAGCATGTTCATACTCAACTTCAATTGGTAAATTGCTAGTTTTTATTTTACATTTTAACATAAAATTATTATCAATGCTAACGATCTCTGTGCGACTTTCAGAGAGGTTTTAAATTGAGGGAAAAACTGGCGCACTCATACATCGGTCAACCATTGCCTTCATCTTTGTACTTACTTCCAGACACGCCGCAGATAAAAGGTCTTCATACGTTTATACGAAACAAGGAGACCTATAGAGATGAATTTATTTTTTACTCTAAACGCTTGATTCGTCTAGTCATCGAATATGCATTGTCTTTGTTGCCTTTTGAGGTAAATATAAACATAAACATTATATAAATGTTATTCAATATGAATATTTGTTTTTTTATTCAATATGTATATTGGTTATTTTATTTTATCACAACTCTAAATAAAAGAGATTTTATTTTTAAAGAGGATTTTTTCCAGAATTTTTTCCAGAATTTTTAAATTAATTTTATTATAATTGCAAGCTCCTAATTTCTGACATATGTTATAATATACTATTTTTGTATGAAGGATGTAACTGTCGAAACACCGCAAGGAGTATTATATAGCGGCAAACGAGGTGCGACGGACAAAATATGCGGTGTATCGATATTACGCGCCGGTGAGACTATGGAGCAGGCTGTTCGAGATGTGTGCAAGGACATACGTATAGGAAAAATTCTCATCCAAACTAATCAACAAACTGGCGAGCCTGAAGTAAGCACTCGAACATTTTTCTTTCGCAAATCTATCCTTGATCGATGACCGATGATTCATTTAATTTCTTGTATCTAGTTGTATTATCTCCGATTACCAAAGGACATCAAAGATTATAGAGTAATATTGATGGATGCCACTGTTGCGACTGGTGCTGCTGCTATTATGGCGATCAGGGTACTTCTGGATCATGACGTTGCTGAGGAAAATGTACTGTTGGCGTCATTGTTGATGGCCGAATCTGGCGTACATTCGATTGCCTATGCCTTTCCGCGAGTGAAGATTGTCACTTCCGCGTTGGATCCCGAGATAAATGAGAAGTTTTATGTACTGCCCGGTATCGGTAATTTTGGCGATAGATATTTTGGCACTGAACCGTCTGATGATTAAGGTGATTTATAGATCTCTATTTAAAATTCTTATATTCGCTACGTTGTGTAAATTGTGATATAAATGCAAATATTAATAATCTATAATATCTTTAGCAAAATTAACATTTTTGTTTGTGCCTTGTCCTCATTATAATTTTATCTCATGCTTGTGATATTTAACTTGAAACTAGCTATCGTATTGCTATTTTATATGTGATGCTGGTTTTTCTTTAAATGTCAATTTATGTTCAAAGAGTCGTTGTGCCAACGCCTCTTCCAGTTTCCGCGTCGGTATCAGCGGCAGTGCCACGTAATTGTCTATACCCTCGTGAACTAGCTCGATGCGAGCGTCTCCATGAATCCAAATTGCCGCCAGTAGGGTTGCTTGGTTGACTCAAAAGATACGTTATTAAACGATCCAATGCGATCAAGTCTTCGCTTGTATTGCCAGAATTCAAGCCTTTGTGTGACTGTAGATTTCCATCTGTTATTTCTTCAGTGTTTTCACTGTCTTTTATGTTACCTCTACCCCCAGTTCCGCGAACAGGAAGACCAAGTCGAGGACTAATCTACAATATTTTTTAAAAATATTAAAAGAAGTAATTAAAAATGTAGTAATAATTTAGTTATTGTTATAATATAATATATAAATTATTATAAATATTATTACAACATATTTAAATTTATATGATATTCAGGTAATACCTCTTCCGGTCCATGCCCATAACTGAGTCTTTGTACTTTTCTGAAAGTTTCGTCATTTATCGCTTCTCTGACTGCTTCGTTTAGTGTACGTTCCAATGCTCGTTGTTTAGTTTTACTCAATCCATCGTAGAAACTATTCAAGTGAGAATATTAATAGAGGTCACATTTTTAGGGTCATATACAACATATAAATATTTTTACATTATCTATGATATCACATAGATAAAGTAAGCTAAAGTATAATCTTTTTACCTTGAATTCAAAGAACTGTTATCTCTAGAGATATTCTTATCGCGAACTAGCCGAATGTCATGTTCCCAGAATCGACGCAGTTCCGGTGTTGACGTATACGGTGCGGCCACTTCTTTAATCTGCGGTTACGAACGAATGATTACGACGAAAACAAAAATTACGTATAAAAGTGGATTATATATATTATTTAAAATCGATGCATTTGTCGTATCGCGATGTAATTTGCTTAACTCGATGGCAAAGTCGTAATTAACGACGTCAGTATATGTTGTGTCGGTGATGTAATAATACGAGATGCAAATTACAGCCGCAATTTGCGATTGTTCTCGACCATTAACGAGCTATGTAGCGTGCTAACTTTAATTACCTTCAAGACTATTATCGCCGTAATAAAGATGCACATTACATTGATAAACGTTAGACACGCGCTGATAATACCGTTGCAGAAGAATTCTACGGGCAAGTAATCGCTGTAGATATACGTATAGGAGCTATTAAAGTTTGTGTAAGATTCGCCTTTAATATGGGGCATTTTTATTGGTCGATATATGAGCCATATGCATCCCAGAGCCCAAAATAAGCCCTGCGAAAAATAAAAATGAATTTTTAGTTTGATCAATATAACATTAAAAATATTACATTATTACATTAATCATTGACAGTTACCCAACAATGGAAGAAAGAGAAACATCTTTAACATATGTCTAATTATTATTGTATAGACTTTATTTTTATATGATATATGTACTATTGTTTTCTTACGCAATTGACGACTGGCGGTAGTAACGAAGCTGATATGGCGACACCAATTAACGGGCCATTACTACCTTGCAGCAAAGCGACCGCGACACCTGTGCCAGATGGAAGAGCCCAAAGAACACCCATCCAAAGCGATCTATAGTTGCCTCTATGGAAAGAAATTGTCATTTTAGATAAAATTTCTAACTATATATTTGAAATGTATATAATTGAAAGCCATAAGCAATCTATTGCGTTATTGACATTGTCTGATCACTCCTAGTGATATCCACCTGCCCTTCATTTCATCGGTTGGCCAGTCGCCATATCCCCAAGGCATTTCAGTTGTACCGAGGAGAAGGCCGAATATGAAGCCAAATAGTATCGATACGAAGATACCGAGCATCAAGCTTTTCAGACCGACCAGTTGCAGCTTTCTATCGGCTATGATCGTCCCGAAAGTCAGAGACATCACAGGTCCCTTTGATCAATGAGACGATGATCAAAAGTGTTAAGTGACGTGTAAACAATGTTTAACGACTAACAAAGTTGCATTAAAAGGTTTTACCATGAGAGGAGAAACTAACATAGCTGCAACGACATTAGTTGCACTGTTCTCGATGAGACCAAGTGCAGCGAGACAGCTGTAAGATCGTAGTTTTCACATAACTGATTATTATTAATACAATTTAAATATTGTGACAATGTAAGATTAAGTTTATATTTAATATTCTACAATGCCTTCTTTGCATACAATATCCTGGTAGCATTAATAATGATAACATATAAATTGTCAAATAAATAATAAGAATTTTTTGATAATATTAGAAGATTACTCTCTTATGGTCGTCGAATGAACTTACCATTATGATCGTATATATATATATATATAAAGATAATAAGAGTAGTTTGTGGTTTCTTACTCCGCAGTTAATACAAGGCACATGTAATCGAAGGTAAGATCACCACCACTGCGGACGCCATCGACGACCTGTTTCACCGTCAATTTCGATCTAATAGATCCTACGAAATCGTCCCAAGCGTTTTTACGGTCCTCCGATTCTTTCCGTCTGAATAGCAAGAAATGCATGAACATATTTTTACATTTACATTAATTTCAGCAAAAATCAATTTAAGAAACCTGCGAGCAACGTCGTCCTTGATAGCCAACGATTTTGTACCGTTGACACCGCTGTACGTACATTGCGTCGGGATTACGCTAAAAATAAAAAAAAATCAATGACCAAAGTCATGACTTCGAACGTACTGGAACTTGTGTTCGTGCGATTTCTTTAGTTCAGCGTAAAATCACCTGACTATCGAGTTCATTTTAACACCAATACCCAACTCGGTGAGGCAATGTATACAATTTTCGCAGGGTTCACCGGCGGGTACTGGAAATATCACCTTCCACCAGAAAGCTTTGTTTGCATTCATCATTTGAAAATATATGTATATATGTTACGAGAAATACGATTAATTCGAGCATCATACATAATGGTTGGTCAATATGCATAATGTCTTATTTTGACCGAGCATTATGCATAATGTTCGAATAAATTAATTTCTCGCATATACATATAGATGGAATGTATCCACAACTTTGGCCGTACCTCATAATACATGTCTTCCTTGTCCTTGCACCATACAACATGTTCTACTCTTAGCTTTTTAAGGAGTTCTTCCAGCACCTGTAAAAGCATAAGTTAAGAGTGAATATAATTAATAAAACTTAGTATTGAATATAATTAAATTGATGAACTATTTGCAAAGAAAATTCTCATTCTTTGAAAGCGAGTTAATAAACTTTTAAAATATAAAGTTATCTTAAAGTTAAGATAGAAGAGTTAAAGTCAAAGAAACGTGAAACCTATAATTACAATTACAGATATACATCTACTTAATAAGTACAATTCATTTTTTCATATAATTTTAATAGTTAATATTATCTTTCATAACTTCATATTACAGTCTATGTTTTATTTTCTTGTAATGTCTGTATCTTGTAATGTTTTTTACTATACTTTACCGTTTCCATCGACACGAAGACCGGTGATTTCGACCGTGTGGGATATCCGCGAGGATATTTTCTGCCTTCAATACCAACATCAATGCCGACATCGTCGTCTTCGTTATCACCATCATCATCGAGCGTGAGTAATTGCGCGCGGCTTTTTGTTTCCTTTAGACGAAGGTCTACCTTCGGCCCTACGATTTTATTTTTGCTCTTTTCGATCTTCTTCGAGCGTTTTACTGGCACACCGAATACAAGTTGATGCTCGTAACTCAAAGTGGGGATACAGACCAGAAATACAACACCCCCAGGCATGTTTATTCCGTAATCGACTTTATTGCACGAAAATCACTTACTCGATCTGCCTCGTGTGATCACCAAGACTGTTCTGTTTCGATTTCGTAGAGCGATCGTCAGAAGATCGAAGATGCAATTCATTCATCAACTAACGATAATTACTTTATTGCCTGGTTCATAATTGTTCTGTGTAGTAAAGACGACTTAAGATGTTATTTTCAGATGATCGTGACATTAGAAATATTCGAAGTCTATGGAAATATTCTTGCTTGGAAATAATTTGAGAAACCTTCGAGGAAGCATATAATTACAGAAATATTTATAATTCTTATAATTCTTATTTTTCTTTTTAGGAAGGAAGATGTTAGTGAGGAAGGACGAGACAGCTGATAACAAAAACCGTGTCGATCTTCTAAAAGTCAAGTGTTATTATTGGTGAGAACGATCTTTAAGGAATTGGCAGATAAAGAGGTAAGAGATACGTGAAATAAAAATATCAAATGTAATAGTGTTTTAAGAAATAAACATTTATTTCCTTTTTAACAAATCAACAGCGTAGAGACTAGCATCTAAAGACTAGTCCGTTGTTTTTTATCCGGTCTAAGTAACTAAAGGCCGCGAGGAATATTCCATGCGAGGGGAACTTCCAAATCTGTGCGAAATCATTTTTTATTTATCGTCACAAAAAACTTTCCGTATGTTTTTCTCTGTTTTTTTTTTTACAAAGCGAACTTATACCCTGTCACCCTTACGTGATACAAAAGTGGTTCGGTATCAGAGATCGCGTACGCTAAATTAAGTACTAATCCATATTACAATAATGCATTTATAAGGAAGTATAAAAATCACAGGGTCCCAAAGAGCCATGAGGTAATTGTTAAAAATCAAAAGTCTATTGAGTCTAAGTTAATTATGGCAAGAATAAAATCGGTATTAGATAATTGTTATGAGTGATGCGAAAATAAATACAAGAAATTCCTGTTAGCTGAATTTTTGGTACAATTCAACTTTTCTCTTTTTTTCTTCAATGTAGAGAAAAAGAGGAAAGATAAACAAGATGTGCAAGATATTCAGCTAAAAAGAATGAGTCTAAGGCCCGGTTGCACCAACGTTATTTTGATTTTAACCGAAACTTTAAATTCTCTCTATCTCGTTTTAAAACCGAAAAGAAACAGAAACCAAAAGAGTTTTAAATCTCACTTAAAATTAAAGTAATGTTGGTGCAACCGGGCCTAAGGAAGATAACAATTTCTGTAATATACCTACAATAGAAATGTTTGGGACGGTTGATGACAAGGTTCTATTGTTTCAGGCGATCCCACTTCTTAACTTCATTCTCTATTCTCGATTCGTATTTTGATAATCAAAATAAGTCTCTAATTATTAAAAGACTCTGTTGACCAAGTTCCCCTCGAAACTAGCAAGAACTCGACGCTTCTGATTTCCGCCCGCGCCGAGCGATGGCTATAATTGCATTATTAATTATTAGTAGTAGAACTAGTATAATCACATACTAGCGATAGTAACAAGTGTAACAATAATAACTAGAATACCGAATGGTCTAGTGGTCGCGCTCCGCCTCCTTTTATTTCTCTCTCTCTCTCTCTCTCTCTCTCTCTCTCTCTCTCTCTCTCTTCTTTTTCTCTCCATCGACGAAATAATACTAAATGATAACAAAAATAGTGAGGATGAGGATGTTGCTGAGGATGACAACGGTGAGGATGCCGACAATTTTCTAGCGTATCTTTTCTAAGAAAAACCGTATGTACATGCTTCTGGCGGCTTTTCGCTAAATATTGACCAAGCGGTGCCGTGGCCGCGCGATATTAACAATGTATTATAACAGTGTATTATCATACCAGGCACCGTGTTACTCACGAGTATCCGCTTGCTGATAAAGGTTTCTTTAAGGCCATACTCGAAGATAAGAGCGGCGCGCCTGTACGCACCTCTCTCGTCTGGTTCTACGCAATTGGTAGTTGCACCATCGATTGAACGTCGTGTAATCGTTCGCTTGAAAGGAATTAATTCTCCTAAATTCAGCTGGGGATGCGTCGCTACAAGATGTTATCTACGTATACCGCGACATGCCGCGTTGCATACATGCGTGCGTAACATGCGTCAGAAACACGATAACGGGACTATTAATGATATAACGCACCTAATGTTGGACTAACGTCGTTTTGCGAAGCTGCGGCCAGACTATCGACTTAACGAACAAAGCGTAGATTTGATCGAATGATTAATGAACGCCTAATTCTCAATCATTCGAATCACTATTTTCCTTTTACTATTTTCAAAAGCTTATGGCAGAGATGAGTCATATATCTATAATTGACAGTTTGATGAGTGTGAGAGTTTGATGTGAAATGAGCATTTTTCAAAATCTTGTTAGGAAGAATAAAAATATTTCCTATCAAGCGACGTGGAGATAAAAGTTAAATTTTCTCTATAGAAAATAATATCATAAAATAGTTAGGTAGTAACGTAAATCATTTATTTTATTGAAAATTGAATATTTTTACCAGAAGTGACATTATGGCGCAAGTTTTTTTTTCCTCATTATCCTACTGGCAGAATTATGTTCAGAATTTATAGTAAATTGTGGCAGCGACTTAAGTGTTTAATCCAACTTTATACGTAATTTTCTACTAAGTCGATTAGTCTGACCGCTAATCGCGTAGTACACAACAGCGATGATCATCGTCTACTCCACCCCCCGAGAGAAGGTACTCGTGGTAAATCTTGGGACAAGTTGGCGGCGCGTTTAACGGCGCCGCGCAACAATTCTTACAACACAAACACACTTTTATCGATAGCACCGACAATTTCGCGCCGATGATGACGACGACGACGGTAGCGTACAAGTCGTCGGCGTCCAAGCACTTTTATAGTCCTTATAAGGCCACAATTCCAAGACGTCTTAAAGACGGATTTAGAAAGAAGCCCTTGCTCTTGACAAGCGCCCTCGTTCTCGCGAATGTGTTTCATGCGACGTGCAGAAAAAAATAACAGTGATTCATCAAATTTCAATCTCGTCTACATGTTTCGTTTCCTTCCAAATTGGCGAGCTATCTCGCGAATACCGAATATCAAATTTGAATAGAAGATCGTTCATTCCAGAGAGATTCATCACTTTTTTTGCGTTACCGCGGAGAAACCATGTCATCATTAGCTTTTTAAAAGAATATCTTCTCTTCTCTTTTCTCTTCTCGTATAACCTTCATCCAATTAACGTGAAATTTTCGCGTCTCCCTAAATATTTCTCCTCGTACAAAATTCAATCGAAAGCTTCGATGTATTTTCCAAAGTCTCTCTTTGCACAGTCATTTTTCCTGGAATTTATTCATCGCAACGTCTTATTTCGCGTATTTGGGGCGTATTAACAAAATTCAGGCCGAGATTCAGGTTCGTGAGATGCCCCCTGCAGAAGGCGGCTTGTCAAGGGCAGATCTTCTCAAACGGGGGCACTCGGTCGTCGCAGGAGCGAAGTGAGCAACGAGTGTCGCGGTGGTCGTCGGAAGGGCCGACGACGTCGACGCTCGACGTTCGTGAAGGAGGACTGTCGCTCCTCAGCGACGGTCCCCAAGGGTCAAGCCTTCTCCTCTTCTTCGTCATCCACATCCTCCGACGATTCCGACGTGGAGGAGGCGATCAGGGCGGTCGACAGAGTCGGCATTTGGGCGGGCGAGCAGGCGAGGGAATTAAGGCGTACTCTCTGGACATTCCAACAATCCGGCAAGGAGTGAGATCCGTCGTCCGCCGTCTTGTCCATCGAGCGAGCTCGGTCGGCGAAGCTGAGCTCCATCATTGACACCCTCCTCGCGGGCACCCTCCTCGGGTTGCCTGGAAAGAAAAGCCAAAGGTGTTATTTATTTGTGGAAATCGCGAATTTACGAATAGCGCTTTGGCCGATTATCGGTGTTTCTCAACTATTTTAATGTATCTCGAAGATATTTAAGAATATATTCTAGAGTCTAGGAAAAAATCGATTTTTCTTTTTTAATGTTTAAAGTCTCTCGAAAATAAGTTTCTAAAAGCTTTTATCGATAAAAAATAATGGAGATATAGGTGTTTTGAAGTTGTTTTAGCGTATATTGTTTAATGCACGCACTTTGTCAACGCGCTCAGCAAAAGCAGCTATTATCAAGCGTAAACAGGAGAAAAATGAAAATGAGCATTTCGAATTAAAGGAGAGTTTGTTGTATAATCCTGATATCGCCGATTAGAGATAAACTTTCATTTTTGTATATCGAAACTTGAAATGCATTTTTCTCGAAAGCATATTTTCCGAGTCAGTTGATACAATTGTTCAGAAATCAATTTTTGCATATATAAAATACATGTCTATCGCATAAATTAAGATTATTGCAATATCTGTAAATTGATTATTTTTTCATATTCGTTAAATTGAAAAGTTGAGTTAAAAATCGATATACTTGTTTTTCAAAACCGCATTATTTTAACAATTGAGAATATTTTCCATTTATTCTAGTTCAGATTATAGCCACACTCATACAATAATAACTAAAAATCGTTTTCGAATTTTTTGTTATTAAGTTGGAAAATATAATAAAATGTCAACCGCTGATATATATTTTTATATTTGTGTTTAAATTTACGTAATATAAAAACTAATACACATTTAGTCATATAAAAATTTATAGAATATATTTAAATATGTACAAATAAATATAAAAGTGTAGAAAAAAATTATTATTTCCTTCAAAAAAGTTCTTCAAAATAAGCCACTTTTTTGCGCTTGACTAAAATATTCCTTATCGTAATTAGTTCCGCACGCGCGATAAAAAAACTTTCTTATCTTCTTTTATATCTGTTCTCAAATAATGTTCTCTTTTTACTATAATCGATATTTTAGATTTAGAAAATACTTTATTTGAAAAATTTTAATACACGTACATATATTTGATAAACGAAATAGGATAATAAAATTGATGCACGATAGATTAATGTATCTTAAAATTAAGCAGACACTAAATATATTTATTGGAAACCGATTTCTCCGCCACAACGCTATCGCAAATATGACAGCAAACACCAATGTCTTAATGATAAAAATATAAAAAATGAAAAGTGCTTAACAACAATGAATAATAGGTAAAAAACTAATAAGTTTATGATTTCCATCACTTTTGTTATATGACAATATTAATAAACAGAGCAAAAACTGGATTTATGACAAAGGAATTAGAATTTCAGAATAAAGATTATAATTTATGTATGCAATCCGTTTACGAAACAATATTTCTTCCATAGCGAAACGACGGTTAGCACGTGTGGGCACTGGCGTGTCGATGCTCATTTTGCAATTGCTCACAAAAATAGCCACGGACGTGTAATGCAACATGAGTGACGCTCGTCACAACGCATTAAAAAATAGCATACTTCAGTGCTTCTCAACGTTTCGCATCTTTCGCGTATCACTTCGTACATTTCCCGCTTAAAGCATTTTATTAATTTATAGTCGTTATATATCATTGAATCGTTTTGAAATATTATTTCAGAATTTGCGATTTTTTTTTTTTTACATTGGCGATATATTTCGCTAAGTATTCGAAACTTCCTCCATGCATTGGAAACGTTGGAAGGGGATGTAGAATGGAAATTGAATAATCCATTTCGGCAGGCATGAAAAAAGAGGGGGGGGGAAGGAGGGAAAGAAAAGGAAAAGAAATAAAAATGAACCACACGTACCCTCCTTCTGCTATGCGTCACGTACCCTTGGTTTTCGCGGGGGAATCCATTTCCGCGGGGGTGTACTCGTCCGTCTCGTCCACCTCGTCGACGGTCTCTTGGCAATCGATACTGTCGGGCGTGCACACGCTCTCGCGTCGAAATAGGCCAATCACGGATTGGACTTTCGGCTGTTCGATCCCACCTGAAAAGCGGAAAGACATATCGGGCATGTGGAAGTACCGCTGGGAATAAATAGGCAGGCGGTGAGCGATTTCACGAGCTGAAAGTTTTCAGAGAGTTGTTAATCTTCTTAGAGGGAAAACTGACTTACAGCTGTCGTGACGGTCTATTGGTTTTCATATTCGTTACTCTTTTATCGAAAAAAATCGAAAGAAAACTTTTACGGTACATTAATATTTGACAGCTGAATTGAGTTATCTTGTTTTTTTAGACCCTCCCCTTTTTTTCTTTTTTTACCTAAGAAAGTGGCGGAGGGCGAACTGTAGGCGAGGTATTCTTTATTGGAGCACCAGGCTGGAAATTCGTGCTGCTTGATCGGATGACCCGATTCGTAATCGTCCTCACGTTTCCACGGTAACATAGTTTCCGTAGCCGTAGGGGTGGTTACTCTGTAGCCTTCCGCACCTAGGTCAAATATCGCACGAGACAATAGTAACGGGAGTACGAAATGGAAATTGAAACCGTTATGATTTCGGCGGGGGCAATTTTCGATGTCGTAAACACGAAAGGTCCGAAGTCCACCGAAATTATATCGATTTTAAATCCTAAAAAAAAAAAACAAAAAAAAAATAAAATGCTCGAAAAATCATGATCACCAATATAAAAAAGACACAAAAGAGAAAATCACAGCAATACAAGATCAACGCCTGATTTGGATATAGCTGAAAAATAGAAAAAAAATACGCAAAAAAGGAAAAGAATTGCGATTCGCAATAACACAAAATCAATTGCTCGAACTCTTTCTTTTTCTCACTTTGAAAACGTACCGTCGCGTCCTATTTTCAAGTCTCCTTCGTCCGTATTTATTGTGTCCATCGACGTAGTAGCGGTGGTAGCGTGTTGATTGTCCGCGTTTACATTCGGCGAATCTTCCGTTTAAAGATTTTAAGCTCTATTAGTCATGACTCTTTTCAAGAAGATAATTCAATAACTACAATCTACATGTACATAAATTGTAATCTTCGCTGTATAAGAGAAATTAAGACATCCTAATCGTTTTCATCGTCGATATACCTATATATTTTTAACTTCAATCTCATTTTTCAGTTCAATTCGATTTAGTAAGTTAAAGAAAAGTTTCCTTACCGGACGTTCGCGCGGTGAACGTGATCGCTGATTCCCAATCCTCTTTGCTGGAGGGCTTCGAGGTTTCTCCGTTTTCTAACTCATACAGCACGCCATTGATGTAATCTGTGCACGATAATTCATGAAAAAAAAAAATGAAAAAATTACGGAACTTTGAAGTACAATTAATTATTCACGACGCTTTGCACGTACCTTGCGTAAATAGCTTTGTCGAGCCGTTCTGCTGTTGAAATTCTGGGAAACTAACGTGATTCTGTTTGCCATCCTATACAATTGAAATCGATAAAATGGAAAGTCAAAGACGTCGAAATTAAATATGACAAACGATCGAGACGCTGATCGATTCTTACTTTGAGTAACTTTTTGCTGCGTTTATGGCGATGTTTGTGCTCCCCCATCATCCGTCGAATATTCATGTGCATTTTGTAATTGACTTGTGTCGAGAGATCGCGATCATTCACCGCGTGTCGACTGTAGCTCAAACGTCGATGCTAAATAATATATGATGCTTGTAGAAAATTTTTAGACGCAATATTTTTAAATATAATAGAATATTATTAGAATATGCTGATATATTTTCTAATTGCGGCTTCTTTGATGAATTTAAAATAAATAAATAATCTTTGACAAAAGAAGTAAATACTAAAATATCGATTTGGAAATTAGAAGAGATCTGCAAATGAATGATGTTTAAAAAAAATATTAGGATATTTTAAAGTAAAAATAAAACAATTACAAGAAATTATATTAATTTTTGCTGGAAATAAATTGATTGAAAATTTTTCAGAAAATATAAAAATTAAAAAATTTAATAATAGAGGGATTACAACTTTATTACATACAATATATTACGTTATAGATCATATATCATGAGCAGACTTTGAATTTGGAGAAAATCTAGACTCGACCATAATCTCTTACCCTTTTGTATGGTTTACAAAGCTCTTCGGCGAGCAGATGGTGGATTCTCGCGTCCGTTAGGTCTTTTTTGGAAGGATTGTACTCCAGTTCCTGCAGATCGATATTCCATCCCGTTTCGAGCTGGCTGCAGCTGGGACTAGAGGGAAAAAGAATGCGATTAGACTGCGCTTTTATTTTATCAACGACAATTGTCAGTGGCGAACAACAGGAATTCCGCACCTTCCATTGAACTGTCCGGTATTGCTGTAATTACGGAATATCGCCGACATACTTTCGGTGCCGCTAATGTTGCCGATAGTGGAGGCATTTCTTCTTATGTAATCTAATGCATCCTTCATAGCCAGCTTCGAGTAAGTTTCCAGAATCTTCGGCTCGGCGCCGCAATGATCTTTCACGAGATAAGGTCGGATGAATTTATTGTCGAATCGCTTGAATCTACAAGCAAATCAAGACAGATAATATTTTTATTTGGGAAACAAAACAGAAGAGGTGAATAGAAATACTGAAAAAAACATTCCGATAATTAGACGATACAAATACAATCTACATTATACATATTTAATACTTTTCATCTTTATAAAAAAATGTATTTCTATTTAGGTATATATATATATATATATATATATATATATATATATATATATATTTAGACGAAAGATATAAATGCTGTAACTAATTTTGCTTCTGTTTATTATTTTACGCTAACTCGTATAGATTCTTGACTGACAGTTTGAATGTCATTGAGTAAACACAAAGTTATGACTAAAAGCGTCTTACTTATCCCGGACGTGATAGTTGCCGTGTTTTCCCAAAATGTCCTCGATACCCGCCATCGTATGATCCATTATCTAAGAATTAAGAGACAGACGTTATTTATCTTTCAATTTGACGAGCAGCGCAGGCGTCACAAATCCGCCAGGATTTGCCACGTATACGCGGGCAAACGCAAACGCAAGCAGAATGATGTATCAAAGTCCCGGTAAAAATTGCCGCTATATACACATTCTGTAATACGGCTTGACAATGACGAACGTTATCCTATTTCACAGTTCGACCCTATTCTTCATATTGTACGGCTCTGTCGTTCCATTAAAAAGAAATAACGTCGTAACTGGGATTCGAGGTAATAGGCTCCGTTATCGTCATATATCGGCGATTGAACGCGATATTATCGAATTTTTACACATCTGTATCAGTTCTGCGATCGCTTTTGTTCCCCGCAATTTTCAGATTACAGCGACAACAAACGACAACATCGCCGAAGTAATTCGGTCGCGTAACGTACCCTCTCGTGGATCCTCTCGTTCATCGTCGGCTTTCTCTTCTCCGCCCTTTTGACATTGAGAATTTTCACGAGAGGTTTGATGGTGATTCCCTAAAAATAAGAGCGCGTTTACGTAAGCGCGTCATCGCGAGAGCGAACTCGTGCAACACGGACCTCTCCAAGGGGGAGACGTTCTAAAGACGTTCCAGAGGATATCCCTACGTCCTCTAAACGTGCCTAAGAACGTTCCCAGGATGTCCCTCGGATAAAATATACGTGCTGTATACATCGGAACACACTCGTTTCCGACGCGAATTATCGGTCAACGTCGAGTAAAGTAACGCGCGGCTGATAAAACGCTTGACGCAAAAGTGTATGCTCAAGTGTGTGCGACATAGAGATATTAGGTTTCCGATCGATCGCGCGACAAAGCACACGTGCAGAGCCGAGCTTTTTTTTTTTTTGCGGCTAACATCATTGTATCGTTGCTCATTAATCGTTGATTAAACGGACGATTATCCATGATTTTTTTTTTTTTTTTGAACAGGCGATCACTTCTTTCTCCTCATCGCGCCGATGAAATAGTATCGGTCTCTTTCTTTCTCTCCCTCGAAACGCGTGCCACTTTGGTGCCGCGTCTCAAAATACGCGCGAGTCATCGGTTCCATGAAAAATGTCGCTGACTAGGTCGGTCCATTTTACTCGAGCAAGGTCTGCAATCTTGCACTCCGCGTAGAAACACACGCAAGCACCCGTCGTTACGTAACGCTTACGTGCATTCGTGTTCGCATGAAATTCGTCATGGATCGGTCGCAGTCATATGATCGTGATCCTACCTGGATGAACACGGTAAAGTAGATGACGGCGATAGTGGTGGTGACGAACATAGGTTGCAGAGGCACGTGTCTTGGATCTATAAGAAGGACCAGGGCGAATGCTACGGCGCCTCGCAAACCGCCGTAGGACATGACGAATTTCTCCACCTTGTCCAATTTGTGCAGCCGGAACTGATTCGCCAGCGCTGTCAGCACTATCACGCCTGGAACATGAATCCGAGAGAGATATTACAGCTGTACTATCCTCTTTAAAAAATGTGTTCCCAGCGAGAAATGATCATCAATTAGATATCGAATTGTCGTCGAAATCATATCGATGTCGATTCAATAAATTTATTTTTCAGTGGATAACATTGATACAGTTATACAGCTCGCGATAAGAAGAGTTTTCAAAAAATCCACATTTCTGATTGTCATATATGTATTTATTTTTTCCCAATTTTTGTCATTTGTAATTTAAAGTGTTACATAAAAACCTTCTCGATTCTGTAAAAATCTGTTACAATCTTGTTACAATCCTGATCGATTTATTTAATTACGAGAGATTGTCAATTGTCTATTATGAAGTGAAACACATTGAGTGCATCGACGTAACATGTCTAATGAAATGCGTGGCGTTTCACACAGACTGGTTCATATCTTTCCACACGTCAAGTGACAAATTGTCCGGTTAGAACAAGAAGCCATAAGTGAAGCGCCGCGTCGCTTACGAGTGACGTAAGATACTCGTGTAAGTAAGAGTCAATTGTCTTAAGTCCCATTATGATTTCATCATTTAACCATATCACTTTACACGCCATTCCGTTCGCCGGCGAAGCGATGCCCTTAACGTCCATCCAACTGGACCGGTCAAGGCCCGCGCGATCGTGTAAGAATTCCTCGACACGAATTCGCTATTATCACGCTACTTTTTCTCTCATTTCCTACTTTTTCCCCCTCTTTGAAATATCCTAAAGTTTTCCACGCCAACAGTTTTGCACAGACTATAAATTTTCTTCTTATCAGCTTAATTCAGAAAACAAATTCAAATTCTACAAATTCTAATTGTAATTCTATAAATTGTATTTTTCAAAAATAGAATTTCTAAAACGTGGAATTGTACAATAAATAAGGGAATTTAAGAAGTTTCTTGTGTACAAAAATCTGAATCTCTTATGAAAGAACGTATTGTGATTGAAATACCTACAGTAATCCCTCGTGTATCTCGTAACAGCTGTTCTAAGAACGGTAGGAGGAATTCTTTTCTGACATTCCCAATCGAATAAAATTAGAAAATCTGACTTACCCATGGCTCGATAGACGGAGCAGAAGACTATCGTCATGACAACGAACCACGTGTTCCAATTGTGAGCATTGTTCACCGTAGCGACGCCGAGAAACATGAATATAATGGTCTCCGAACTACTTGACAGCATCTTCATTGTATACTTGACGGTCGTGTGAGACTTGTGCGATATATTGGCCTCAACGTAATTCTTCATCGTAATACCACAGAAGGTTATTCTGGAATAAAGGGATCGCGAATTACAGAACAGGCAGCGTGCCAATCACCGTTTCGATAAAGTTAAAGCTTGCAAGCTGAGAATCTTGTTTGTAAACGCGATAATGAAGGTAATTACGGCAGGAATTAAGCCGTATAGCGTTTAGAACTCTATTCGGCATTGATCCATCTAATTCCTTCGCGGCAGATTCTTGGCGTTTATTTCAGTTTCCTTATAATTTCTGCAGTGCCAATAGGATCAGTGCAACAAGTTGTTGTAACTTATTCTTGAAATTGATACCACGGATGTCGTTCATAAATATTTAATATTCAAGGTTAAACAGTTTCGATAACGTTCGTTATATTGTAATAGACGTGATGAGTCTTTGGATCTCTCAATTTATCTCTCGATTATATATTTGTTGAAAAGTATATTATTGAAACGCGTCTTTAGGCTGGAGATGCCAACGCGATATGTCGAAAAGTCGATGATTTACTTACGCCATTATGCCGGACAAGTGGAAGATCTCTGCGCTAAGGTATGCCAAGTACGCCATCACGAAGATGAATATCGGCTCGATCACGCGCACCTGATGTGTAAACCTGGTCACGAAGCCAGTAGCGAAACCCCAAACTACACCTATGACCGTGCCACCGATCGCCACCACCAAAAACGAAGCTAGGCCCGACAGCACGTCCGTATAAATGATCCTAGAAGGGCCCATCTCGCTGTACGTCTCGAACATGTGATAGAGTACCTGCGTATTCGTAATTAAATGGCCTTTTACTTGGTCGTTGCAGTAACCTCTGACACTTTCCCTCGCTCGCCTCGCAACAGCACGAAACTAATAAGCGACGGATCGTTAACGGCTCTCCTTTTAACCCTTTTCGCATTACCATTCTTAGCTGGCACGACCCAATTTTTACGTCAAAGCAGAACATTTTTTTCGGACGGTTAACGACATATAAATATACGACATATATAGTGCAGAGATGTTGATCTATTTGCAGAGATATTCAGACTTGCGACGTAACAGATAAAATTGGAACGGAATGCATTTTTGGAAACATCGCACTTACGATGTTACATTTTTCTTTACTAAGCTGCAGATATTTTTTAAGAGTTAATTGTGCATGATATTAATAACCGTCGAGGCGCCCGGTCGGCGACGTTTGTTAAAGTCGTCGCAACGATATATACAAAACACGGTTTAGATTATATCGTTTTGTTTTATTCAAATGTATTACAGATTGCAGACATACAGGTCGCGTACAAATATGACGTTAATTTTTAAGCGAGGCGAAGGTATTTGATACTTGACCCGCGCTTATGGACAATGTGATCAATGTTATATCGATCGTTCGCCCCCGGTGAGTGCTTGTCGTTTGGCAGTGTCATGTGCAAGCTTTGCTATATTCTATCTTTTATTTATCAGATATTCTAAAATATGACATGCGAGGGTGAGAGACAGGGTATTAATCTACGTCAACTTCAGGGTCAATTCTGAGCGGATGCGAAAAGAGCAAGATACCGATGACATACATAAAATAATTGCGGTAATAATTGCGGTGCATAAAAAAATTGTACACAGTTGGAAAATTTATATTAAATTTAACGTATTTTGCATGTCTCAAACGGTCCACTAAAATTTTTATATTAATTTAACACAAAATGAATCTGTTAAAACAAATATTATGTAAAAAATTAATACCATAACAGTAACATAATTTATAAGCAATCATATTTCTTTATTAAAATTAACATTTTCCATAATATGTTAAATTAACATGTTTCAATAAATTTAAAATTTATAATATGTTAAATCAACACATTTTGTTTACTTATCTTACATTTTATATTAAAAAAAAAACATTGTTTTTATATTATTTATTCCTTACTCATAAATTGTTAAGTGTTTAACACTAAGAAAAAATTGAACATCAATTTAACATAAAATATTCAAATAATACTGTCACATTAAGTTAAATTATAACACTCGAATATATTAAAAATTCAACACAATTTTAATGACTTCAGTGGACTGTTTCTAATGCAAATATAAAATGTTTTTTTATTGCATAGTTATTGTTCTTTGGAATATTGATTATATTCTGTGATATTTCGCAATCATTAATATAAAATATAATATAGTTGAGAAATTTTTGCTATACGTAAGAAATGTATATCTGTGTTTCTGTCTTTATGATTTATTTATTTACTTGTGGAGTTTAGTTTTTTTAAAACTTCTAATAATCTCTTTAAAAATACATTTATTTTTAATTTCTAATTGTAATTATAAAAATTTACTCGATGTATCTTTATGCATTTAACGATTATTTTTAAAAAAGAAGATATAATCAGATATATTCTATTTTTCTTCTTATGCTTATCTATCAGATGCGTGCAAATATCTCGTATTCGCAGACGTCGAGTGATTAGGATTGATCGGCTTTAATCCTCGCTCTATACGCTCTACACATGTATCGAGACTTTTAATAGTTCGTAACAAAAGGACAGAGATTTCTGCAGTACAGTGTGCTACCTACGCAACAAACTCCTTGATGTGCAGCATCATGTAATGTAAATAATGTAATACTTACGACAGTGACCGCGTCGTTCAATAAACTCTCTCCGAACACGACGATGTAGAGTATCTCGTTCACATGTATCTCCTCGAAGACGGCCAGCACGGCCACGGGATCGACAGCACTGATCAACGCCGAGAATAGGAACATATCGAGGATAGGCGTCTCACAACCAAATATACCGCTTTTCCCCAACAGCCATAATGAAACACCTAAAGTGTAAATAGCGTTTTAATTATAATAATGCGCGATCCAATATCTGATATCATGTTTTTCGTGATTATAATTCGCCTTAATTGTCACGAATTTGTTAATCTGCTTTAAAATACTTCTGAATAAATCGTCGATTTATCGAGATTATTATTATCCTATCGATCCCTAAAGTCATTGAACGTTGAACCGCGAGAAGTGAGAGAGAGAGAGAGAGAGAGAGAGAGAGAGAGAGAGAGAGAGAGAGAGAGAGAGAAAGATTAAGGTTGCCAAAGATAGAAATTTGCATTATCAAATACCAGCGTTCCGCCCACGTGTTATATTCGTACCTATCAAGTACTTGAATTCTTCCTCCTTTTCGAAAGAGAGATATTACTCCTGGTATTGAACCCTTTGAAGGTTCTCGACAATAATAGAGTGTCAGTTTTTAATCTATTCCGATAGGATATTAATTAACATCGTACATCATAATTTCATGTTATCGATCGCTGCCATTATTGTGCTTACCGTGTCGTTTCTTACTTGAAAGTTACGTGTGATACGGTTTTAGAAAAGCAAAGACTTTTCATTTCGGTCACGAGTTTCTTAAGAGATTAATTCAATTAATCGAATGTCGTTAGATCTAATCACGATAGTTACGGCAAACGTTCGTTGAAAATAATTAAATTTTAATGTAACGATCCCGCGTCTCACACTTCTATCTTATCTCATATCGTTTTTAAAAGTCATCTTTGCCATTTATTCGCAATATTTGCGACTCTTGAAGAAATTTAAATTTGTGTATTTTTCTATATATTTTCGTTTGTGTATTAATTAAAATTATATTAAATTTCGATATTCAACAGGATTTTAATGAAAATCAAAACTGCGAAAATTACAGCCGTATTGTTCTACATTTCTTTTCAAAACATTATTAAATAAATATTATTGATTATAAACAAAAATTTGATTCAAAATTTGTATTGAAATAATTTAAAGTGTAATATATATATAGAGAAAAAACAGATACGAAAATTTTAGGAAAGAGACATTATAATATATTAATACATTCTATTTATTAAGAGGAATAAGAAAGTGCTTTTTACATTTATTTTGTATCTCATAAATGCTTATACAATGACATTTACGAAACACTTTATAGAGCTATTTGGTACACACAGTTTGGTACACAGTTTTGGCGTCTTTTACGATAAGAAGTAATAGCCTGAAAATATAGCACTGACAGCTTTTTATATGGTCATCAATCCTAATCAATAATCGCGCCCATCGTTTACGCTCGACGTATCTATCTTAACCTATTTATTATTAGTTATTTTAACGCGATTTTATCGAGCATTAAATAACTTGGACTTTTCAAATGTCGTGTCGGTTTCGTTCTTTTTTCTTTTTAATCATAGCGACAATTTCGCGTGAAATTTGTGGTTATCGTGGTGTCACGATCGAATCGCGTTATCATTGCGGTGATAGCGGATGATAGCGGATGATAGCGTCGAGATGACAATTGTCACATATGCTCTGCACATTATTGTCGTCATTGTCGTCATCGTCGTCATCGGCGTCGGCGTCGTCGTCGTCGTCGTCGTCGTGGCTTGCCCCGCGCATCCGCTTCGACGCGCACGCTATTTTCGTTCTCAAGCCGCGCATTTTCTCTACGTTTTCAAGATGAACATCTGCGTTTACGCTAGATCGCGAACAGACCATGAGCAAAAGTGAAGAATGGAAATTCCACCGTCTGCGGGGGAAGGTCGGAGTGTTTTATTTATGTATGCTTCTCTTCATATACATGTACGCAACCAACTTGTTTAACCTCCTTATTACACTTTCAAAGTTTTAATTAATTTTTTTTAGAATTGTTTTTATCTACGTGCGTTGGAACAGATTGTTTAGCAGACTGCAAATTAGAGTTGAAATCTATTTTTCTCCTTTGCAGCAATTTATTTGTTGCAAATTTCAAAACTCGTAAGACTAAGGTGTTATATTTATAGTTAAAAATATTACACTAAAAGAAAAGATTGATTGAATATGGCATAGCATTTTTCATTGATTACAGCAGTCAATTAAAAATACTATGTCATATTTTACCATTTAATTTACTGCAGCAACCAATCTTTTCTTTCAGTGTAATTTTATAGTATTAAAAAAATATAAGAAACTATATTCTGAGTTGGTTAATCATATTTAGAATTTTTAAAATATAAATATAAATATATAAGAGATTGCTACGCGAACAATTAATTCGAAAATTTAATTCTTATAAAGCTTCATTTTTTGATACGATGTTAAACAGACGTTAATATAGCTTAATATAGCTTATATCAAGTATATACGATGAGGAAAAATCTTTTAAACTTGTAGGAAGGTTTATTTATCTTTTTAAATATAATATCTCAGAAAAAAAAGTTTCAATTATTATTGAAAATGAGATACTCAAATTTTCATTTCCGATTTTTCCCGATACAGATATCGTCATAAGTTAACGTTATGATTATATTTGACTTCATGATATTTTACACTTGGAGGATCTCACAGTGTTGCTTCTTAATTCTCTCGAGGATAGATAAGTATTTCTATATATAATCGGAATAGGTTTGCGTGGGTAAGACGAAAACGAAGTAGTCCGAGTTACGATCGATGCGCGTCGAGGGAAAAGAAATAATATCCGAATCGAAAAATTGTCCTAATCCGCCACCGATCGACTAAGTCAGCGGGTGTTGTCGCGTCGTGTTGTCGCCGCTTTACTAACCTATTGACATCGTATTTAATACAGTTCCAACGACAGCGAACAGGAGTATCGTCCCGAGATGGTCGAAGAACAGCCGATTGGGCATGAAGTAGCCAGCATCCAGGATGATGGGTGGCAGCATGTACAAGAAGAACGTATCGGGTGTTAGCGGCGAAATGTGAACGCTGCTCGCCTGGAATAGCAGCAGGCCGACAATCACGCCGACGGCGATCAGCAAGCAGGACTCCGGAAAGATCTTGTTGAGCTTCGGCGCCATGTGGAAACCTGGACGCCAATCGTTATGTTAAATATGTCATTAATCGTTAGTTCAGGAGATCTATAACAAAGTCTGCTCAGAGTGACTTTATCAAAATCCTACTAGAGGAAAAGGTATATGTATTTCTTTCTTTACTTTAATTGATCCTTTGTTTCCACACTTTTTTTTGCTACTTATTTCGCCACACTAGATCTATAAGATTCACAATCAGTATAAACTTTTCTGATATGTCTGTGATATCTAAATATTAGGGATGCACCGGATCGTAAAATTACCGGATACCGGAATTCGATCAGATATTCGAGAAGGCAATTTCTTCGTATCGGAAATCCGGACATTTTCATCCGGAGAAAAATGTCTTCTAAAAACCCTATAGGGAAAAAGATAGTAATTTTTACCTATTTCTAGAGCATTTATAAGAAAAAAATCAACAATTTAATAATACTAAATTTCAATCGGATACCTCCCCGAATAATAGTGATATCCGGCTATCCGGTCGGATAATAAAAAAGTGCTGAATAATACTGGGTACCGGATATCTCGTACATCCCTACTAAATATCAATAAAAGCTTATATTTAGTATACAAATATTATAGTTTTAAATATTGTATAAAAGATAGTTATGGTATCTAGATCTATTGTTAGATACCAACGTTTCGTGAACATTGCAGTAGTTCACTTCATCAAGGCAAAGAGCAGCTTGATATGAGTGGATAGTATCAGGCTGCTCCTTGCCCTGATGAAGTGAACTACAATATTCACGAAACGTTGGCATTCCAACAATGGACCTAGATACGGAGATAACCCGTTAAACGCATAGCTCATTTATAGGAAGTAACCGTGAGAGCCTCAAAATTAACAAAAGATAATCATATCTTCATATCATAATCATATCATCATCATCAAGTATATTTGCCTTTATCATTATTTATAAATTAGATTTTTATATTATAAAAAGATAGTGTTCGTAATAATGTACGCGTATAAATTTTTCGCTTGGATCAATTTAATCCATATGTACCAAACTAAATATACAAGGAGAAAGTATACGTTTGAAAATGTACGTTTCTAGTAATATTTTGACAAAATTGCTTGTGGTCAGACTCCGTTATAAGCTTTCTAAGTAGGTCGCTCTAATCTTTACAATTCTGATTCGGAATTCAGATCCCGAACTAACCGCAAGGAAACGTGAGAATAATCCGCAGTCTGCAGCGTCGGAAGTCAGAATCATCGAAATTATCAATCGGTCTCAATCGGAGAATTAACTGTGATAGAACACGTGGCATTCTGCAGCAGCGAAGATTCCAAGTATCACGACACGTTGCGACTGTCGCGTGTGCTACACATTTCTTCACGCCCGGCATATCGGTGGTATCTCCCGCTCGTGGAGAGTTCTGTTAACGCGTATCGTGCTATCGCGTACGATGTATCCGTAAACGTGTTCAATATTCTATGTATCTTGTTCGATATTTTCCGTGGAATCTTCGTCTCGCTCATGGATAACTATGGACGAGTAAGTAATGCGACGAATGAGCCGTTAAACGTAACGGTGGAAAAAGTTTAGTCTGATTAGATATTTTCGAATTCAAATTCATGTTGAGGGGATAAGAAGAATATATAGGATGGAAAGATAAATACGATAATAGCAATCTATTTTTAAAAAGTAGTACACTGGAACTTTGTAATAGCGAATCTCGAAATAACAAAAATCCCTTTCATGTTAGTGGTGTGAGTGAAGTAGTGATAAAACAGCGTCTTCAATACAACCTTGAATTTTATGATTTACGAGAAAATCTTACGAATTCAGATCTTAATAAAACTTTGTATACTTACAGCTTACATAAATAGATGAATTTAAAAAGTATCATTAGCGGCAAATAAATGCTTTTAAGAGATGAAATCACTCTTTACATTTAGTTTTAACTTCTTTCGTTATATCTCAAAATTTGTTGGATAAAAAAAAATTATAATACAAAAATTTTGTAATAAAATTACTTTTATTTACGTCAATAATATTTTTAAAAAGTAATTTTTTAAATATGAATTTTGCAAAAATTATTTTTTTTAAATATTGGTATGAAAATTTCATTTATAAATATTATTAGTATAAAAGTTTCATTAAAATCAGAATTTGACACTTCGCGAGGTTCTCTTGTTAAAAGTGAAATGAGGACGACTTCGTTATTATATTCAGAATCACGTATTATTACGAGATTCCAATGGTGTATTATTCGTATTTCGAAATATTTGACAGGATTGTCCTCTATCGAAAGCAGGATTTGATCTGATCGCATTATACAAGTCACAGTGGAAAAAGTTATCAATGAAAACTCGCAACAGTATTTTTAAAAAAATCTGCTATTTTATTTATCTACTACGATAAAACATTCTTCTTGCTAAACGTAAATTTGTATGCCCCACCATGATATTTGCGCAACTGACGTATGCGAATTTTATGTAGGCAGGTGTATTTTATTCTTGCCCGTTCGTTCACTTTCGTGACTTTTACCACCGCTCCGTCAGGTGAACAGAAATATCAGCGGCACAGTTTGTTTCTTCAACCACCACGTCTCGCCGCGTGCTTGCGTATCCACGCGTGCGTGCAACGCGAGTGAAATTGCACGGAGAGAGAAAAATTGCGCGTCCATCGAGTTTCGTATTGCTCGAACGGATATTCAGTAAATGGAATGCTAACGTTCGAGTTCATTCGGCGCTTATCGTGCGCCGCGCACACAAAAATGAATCTATGTGCATCGTGAAATACTATATCGTAAGATATTACACTTTTGAGTCTTTGAGCATCTTTATGGATCTTGAAATGCAAAATCGTGGCTTTTCTGCCGCGCGAGCAATTTTTCGAGCTTGCACACGAATGTATTATGTAAAATATCGTATAAAAATTCGTATCTTAACAAATTATAACTTGTTATTCCTTTAATTTACATCTAATAAATAACAAGTCAGAGAGAGAGAGAGAGAGAGAGAGAGAGAGATTGTTAAGACATGAATTTTTATCCGATATTGTCAATACGATAACAGCTTTTTTGGTTCGCATTCGCCCACGTATTGTTCATTCGCGAGAAATTATTAAACACAAATTTCGTCGTAACGAAAAAGGGTAATGAGCCTTGCATAACATAACGAGTATTGCAGTCGGCTTTCAATGACATTTGCCAGGTTTTGTTACGTAAGCAAATGGAAAACTATAGGTGCGCTAATGTATTCATCGAAAAGCGTCACTATCGTGAAAATTGATGCAGCCTGATGTGCACAGGCGAATAACAAAATTGCGACAGATGTTTTCGGTTAACAATAGAGACAGGGAGAGTGTGTTCGTAACATGACAATTTTCAAATAATATGTGTCTATCGTAATATTTCAAATGATGATATTACGTACATTGTATTGTTTAACTGTTTTCAATTTTGTCGAACATGTTATTACAAGTTAAAACGGTTAATTATACGTATAATGGATGTGGCATAAAAGATATTTTCAGAATGTTTTGTCTCTTAAAAAAAAATCTTTATATTCTTCTCTCTTCATTAAGAAACAAAGCTCAAATTAAATTTATAACGACAAGTAACGCTTGCGTATTTGACTTGAATTTTTTGTACTTTTAGATAAGGTTCCTTTATCTTATAAAGGATGACTCTTAAGTACATTGGCAAATACTCATTTGTTGCATTATCGATGCAAGTATCTCGAAAGAAAATATAGAGTATATATACGAGATACTTGCTTTCTTGGACGAATATCGGATCGTATCATTCAAGAGTATACTTGAGTATACTTGATTCGCTAATGTTTATTACACGTGTCGTATCTATGATAAGTTCATTCTTAAACACTGCAAAAAGACTGTTGTTTACATTAAACGATACGCTTCAGAAAAGCAGAGATCTCACGCCTACACGTATCCTGTCTCGAAGACAATAACAGGAAGAGGAAAGAAAAAAAAAAGAATAAATTAAGATCAGCTTTCATACTCCCAGCACTTACCGATTTTCGCGATGCTGGCGAAGAAGATCCAAATCCCGATGAGAAAGGGCGTTTCGACGCGCGTGAACTCTACGCTGATGATGCGATATTCCGGTTTCGGCGAATGTTCGTTGCCGCTCGAGAAGTCGCCTATCGCGACGTCGTCGCCGGAGCGCGCCGAGGCGAGCTGCGATTCCTTAGGGATATTCCGTTGTCCGGCATCGTCGCTGCTGGCCGACGAGAGGCTGCGCAGGGTGTCATCGTTCGGCAGGGCCGAGCGGATCACCGGGCCCATGGGCCCGAAGCCCAGGCCCGGGTAAGCGCTGTACGGATCGCCGTGGAAGTCACCGGCATCGATTTGCGGTCCGTGCGACGTGGGATGCTTCTCTGCTGGGATCCGCTCTGCGGATCCCAGGTCGTGGAAAGGCGCGAAGTTGGCGCGGCCGCATCCCGGACAGCAGAGGACCACAAGGAGGAGCACGGGGATGATCATCGGGGCGAGGCGATCCATGGCGCACCACTCGATGTGGCGCGACGACGACGACGACGACGATACTTCTGCCGTGGACGATCCACGCTGTCGTCCGCGCTCGTCCGTCGCCGGTGAGTCACTACTTTTACTCGTTGTACCATCAGAAGAGAACCGCCACGATGACGAGCACGCTCGCACGTGCTGGCGTACTGCGGGGCTCCCCAAGATTGACTCCCCTGATCTCTTTGTAGCAGCAATAGGGGCGGTTTATTCGATGACGTCCTACCCTCCGAGTGCAATCAGACACCGTCTCTATAACGTTATCGTCCCACGGATCACGTACTACAACATGCACCGATCTACGATGATTGAGCAATTTCGAAAGCCTTCTTCCGTCAGGAAAATTCCTCTCTTGCGCAGACTGTTTATACGAACGTTTTCTCAGTAATAATTATCTAATTCTCTTCTTATCGTTTCGCGTATCTGAGAACTAAAGCAGCTCCGATGTTCATCTTCGTAATGACATCGTACAAATGTAACATTCTTGAGGAAAACAAAGGCAAATTGTTTCTACGTAGACCGGCTCGGCATGAGAACTGGAGGGACCCAGTTCCAAGTCCGGAATAATCCGGCTACTATGATCCGAAATGAGGGATAACAAGTGTCGCGACAATAAATCGCTAAAACGTCAAACCAATAATTAAACGTGACTCATACCGCTTCGGCGTCGAGACGTGGCGCTACAATGAGCTGCTGCTGGAGGCCCATGTCCCTCGCGTGAAGCTGTATCGAGAGATGCTGCCGGAATATCTTTCTGTTAGGAATGCTCGCCTTTGGTACAAAGACCGAATAAAAACACAATTCTGATCCCAGGATAGGAATCACGGACAGCCACTTTCCGATTCGGAGTAGGGAATTGGATTGCTCTCTTTCTCTCTCTCTCTCTCTCTTTCTCTCTCACCTGCCTGTGGTTCAGCCCATGCAAATAGATAATCTATGCAACCGCACAGGGGAATGACTTCCGGTTTCGTGCGATTTGGCTTTGATTTTCTGACTGATCGCACGACGCGTCCCTTAACGCGGCGACGACGGGGACGTTGACAAGTGCGTCGCTCGTCGCGCGACGCTCGCGAATACCGCGACGCTCTCAAGTCTTTATAGAGTCACCCGGCGGTGAACGCGAAGTCTGATCGACGCGCGGCCGCGGCGACCCGTGGACGATGACGTGGTGGAGGGACAGGAAGCGCGACGATGATAACGGACGCGCCGCATTATAAAATACGGGCGGACGACTCATCGAAGTGGACGTACGTCGCCGGCGTGCCTCTATCGACCGACGGCGACGGCGACGGCGACGGCGACGGCGACGGCGAGAGCGACGACGTCGTCGACGATGGGGGCGGCGACGGTAACGACGCCGATAACGCTGAGCAACGGGGAAGCGCTGCCAAAAACGTGCGTAGGCGTCGTCGGCACTGCCCTCGTCGTCGGCGACGATAATGGATGTATGTTAGATCTGCCGTCTCTTTTTCTCTCCTTCATCTATCTCCGTCATCCCTCCACGTAAGTCTCGCTTCCCACCATGACGAAAAGCTTCCAGCCAGCTGATCGTCGATGAAACCCGCGCAGGCGTCGCGACGTCCCCGATATAACCTACCCTCGCTCGGCGTCGGCAGCGGCGTCGAGCGGTACATCGCCGCACACATTTCGTTTTACGCCGATGCACCGTTCTTGCGGAAGTTCTCCCGCTAGAAATACTCCCGCTCGACGTTATTACGCGACTCGTTTGCGGTCGAGCTTTGTACGGATATCGCACTGCTGCCCCCCGAGGGTTCTCAGCGTACCGTCGTTCTCGTGCACCGTTCAATTCTCGCCCTAACATTTTCGTGGGAGGGTAGCTTACGAATAGCCGTTTCGCCGATGGTGTGTCTCTCTACACGAACGAGCACTTGCGACTTCCGTTCCATTTTTACAGAGCAACGCGGACGCCGCGATACCGGCATCACCGGCGTCTCGACGTCTCGGCGACAGCCACGCGAAGCCCTCACTGATGCCGATTTTAAATCGGAGGGAATGCGTCAGTCACGTCATTCGCCGAGGTCTCGATCGTCTCGGAGAGGCCTTGACCTTGCTCGACGGATGGATACGCCGGATTTCGGTGTATGCGCGAGAGATCGTTCGGAGCGTCGTTACGGCGCGACGCGGTGGCGGTGACACGTGTATCAATCGTCGCCGGGAATTTTCCAGAATTATATTATCGCAACGACGCGAATTTGAGATGCAGAGATAGTGTCGGAAGTACCGTTTTTCCTCCTCCGTCATTATCGCCGACGCCGACACAGCGAATTTCTAATCGGATCGCGCTTTTTGCCGCAACGCGCGACGATAGGCAATACACATTCGTGCGACGTGCGCGGCGGGAAATGCGGTTAGATAAGGATTTATTGCGGCCTACTTGCATAATAAAAAATTATCGGGACGTCGAGTAGCTTCTGCCTGACAAATGATTCTCACAAGGCCGGTTCTGCTGTTTGTAGAACGATAGAGAGGCGCACACGATCGCCCTTCGTCTAACCCTCGCTACTTTAATTCTCGCGCTTATCTTCTGCCTCATACGTACCTCTCGACAACCCCCAGTATTTATCAAGATTCATTCTAGCGACTTACGGAAGTAAAGTCCCTCGGCGCCGTACATTGTCGCGTGGTGACTGCAAATCCATCCGGACGTAAAAATCGTTGGCCCGATCGCTGCATTTACAAATGCCGGTGCATACCTATTTAAAGAGAGAACCCATGCATGCAGTTCAAAGCATTCCAGCAACGTTGCAGCAATGTTGTAATAGCCGCGTACATTCCGCGTTCAATAGAATGTTTCTTTTTCTAACTGTTGCACAGAAAGAATGGTTTTGCCGCAATCTCTATAAATTTAACTAGATACAAATCTCACATCTGAAAATGGCCCAACAATTGAAAAAAGGTTGTATATTATTGGGTTACACAAGAGAATTTTTGGAGACGTGAGAATTTTGTTCTATGCCTAGTCAACACATTTGAAAAAAATTGTCGTATAGTACCTGAAATATCCCAGAAATACTTTGTGCTGCATGGGGAGGTGGCTCGTCTTTTCTTCCATAGCGACGCACGATTAATTAATCTATCTGTCTTAAAGTCGTGTGCGATCCGATCTGATCGGTGCATCATCGCGTGTCGACGAATCTGCTATTTCATTGAATCAGTAAAAGGATTCACATTCGAAAGAATCAAAACGGTAACGCTGTTATTTGTATACGCCAACATACGGGGAATTGCTTGTTTGCACAATGATAAGATACGATTAGCGGTGAAATGATAAGAAACGATCCGCTTCTTTACGTGGAATTTCGTGCAATGAGATAGTCCGCAGTGGACATAGTTTGATTTAAGACATCACATTATCGCGTTACCCGATGGGGCAATTGCAGTGGAACGTAAAAGTGATGTAAATCGCTTGAAAGAAAATATTACTCCATCTCTCCATTCTGACGCTCGGCGTTTCGTCGCTTCCACCATTGATAAATTAAAGATTTAAGACAAACTGGATCGATTTCTCCTTTATAAATATTTCATGCCATTTCATGAGCGAGACCATTTTATCTCTCACAAAATTTCTACCGGCCAAATCTCTTTATATTTACTTGGCGTCAACTATACAAACAAGATTTTATATTTTATTTCATTTGTCAAAACGTCATAAATGTTCCATGTGCACTTCTGCGATTTGACCTCTTCATCAAAGTTTCATTATAAAGAGATCATTCTCATGTTCATCGCGGAATTTATTATTAATAAAAGCAGAAACAAAATAACAGGTCAAGGAAGATAACGTTTTATATCTGTTTTCTTTCTGTTTTTCTGTCTCGCCATCTATCCATCTTGTCCCTCGTTGATTTGCCGTTCTAGCGGTTATCGATTTTTCGTTACACCACGCGCAACCTTGGATTGTCGCGTTTTTCGACTTCGTACCGAGAGCGTATAATCGCGACGTAGAATTATTTTCGCATCGTAGAAAAAAAAAAGCGCTCTCCTCTCACAAGTACACAGAAGAGAAAAGTATGATATGAAGCGAAAAGACGGACAAGAAGGTGAAGCTTGACAGACCGCGATCGTTCGAAATTAATCTGTGATTCTCGCGTATACCGCGTCAATCCGTCTGTACTTCGCCAATTATACCGAGCCCGTAATTTCATTGTCATTAATATTTCTGACAAGCGTCGCTCGAATGGTGCTCTAATGAAGGAGATAGCATTGATCCAAGTCACATCGGTCGGCCAGACGCAGCTTGGATTCCGAATTCACCCTCGCGCCGTCGCTGCGTGACGATTGTACGCGGCATTACCGCGGCTTATCCTGAAATTAGCCTGCTGGATATCGTTCCCGGACCTGGGCGACGCCCCTCATAACCTCCCCGTCCGGAGAGCCGGGCAGCATGAGACAAGTAAGGCAAGGGTTGTTCGCAAACAACCCTGCCGGGAACGGCCGCTTGTTGCACCGGGGCACGCAATCGTATAACATACGATAGTCCCCGTACTCCATAATTTAAAAGGCATTCTGGAGCTATGTCGACAAGCGGCATATGGCCGAGAAGTATGCGCTGTGGATTTTTAATCAGATCGGCCTGGGTACATATATTAACGATTGTATCTCTCGGTGATCGCCGTACGCGATTAGAAACTCGAATATCATTTCAGCTGAAACGATAGTTGCGGAAATAGTATTGGTATATTTCTGGCGAAAATACAAATTGAAGCGTAAGCCGAATGTGAGGGGAAAGTAACAGAAGCGTAAACGAAGCTTCTGGAAGGCGAAAATTGAGGCAATAATACGTAAAAGAGACGTTTACGTTTTCTTTTACGTTTCGTTGTCTCAATTTTCGCCTCCTAGAAGCTTCGTTTACGCTTCTGTTACTTTCCCCTTACGTTCGGTTTACCCTCCCAACTTTTATTTTCGCCAGGAATCGCGCAAGTGAAATAACAATAGATATCCACGTAATCGCCAACAATCCCTCTTGCGTACAAGCTACGTCTCAGTTATATAACATGAGCATAACTGTTACGTGTAGTTTTCATACACTTGGAGTACTAAAAAACGAAAACTTTGAGTGGGTAGGTGGGATGGCCACAGCACCTCAGGCATAATTTTCTTTAAAATCTCGTTGGAAAAATAAAATAAAAGGTATCGACTAAAAGTTTTAAAATTCATTTTTATACTTCCCTATCTTATAAAGATATAACTAATGTAAAAATTTAACTATAACGTGATATACCGATAGTACACAAAGTAACTATAAAATTAAAATTTATTATTGAATGTGTATTTTTAGATCCCATCTACTGACTTAAGTACCTTTAAATCATCTACTTAAACTTTTTAAAGAATGACATGCATCTGTAATACTCGCGCAATTGTACATCCTTATAACATCGATGATTTTTCATTCCAAGGCTCAAAAATATTTTATTAAATATATATTTCTACTTCTGCAACGAAATACAGAATGTAAAGATAAATACAAAAACTTGCAGTAAGACACCACAAGTTGTCAGATCTACTATATTTATTACATCTTTGAATTGTATCGAATCCAACGGGGAATGTAACAGCGATGACTTTTCCGCTATATTTCCGCTGCCTATATTTCTGTTCTCGAAAAAGGTTCTGGATTTAATAAAGTCGCAAAAGTCAAATCGAAATTTTGCTTGTCTTATTTTCTCGTCTCTATTACCGGCGAGATTGGAGAGGGTTGGCTTATATCCCCTGGCGAACAACATAGTGCGGATATGTTGCTACGTTATTTAGAAGGTATACCGCGCACGACGATGCTCGTACATCGCTCGATGATTCGAAAGAGGTATAACGACGTTCGCTCGGCTCGGTCAGCGCTGCGTTAACGCCAACGGGGCCGTTTCATCGCCCCTCGTCTGCTTTCCGTTCCCCAGTGCGGAAAGTAGTGAACGAGGGTGCGCGAAGAGATTCCACGAGGGTGGCGTTGAAGCCGTGACGAGGGAAAAGTGGCGAGAGGAGAGCGGAGGGCGTTGAAAGTAACGATACTTGCGCGAATTCTCGTGTTCGTCTCGATATTGTCGGCGACGAAGCGTTGCCGAAATTTTCGTATGTCGTTGGTTGGCGACGTTGGAAAAATATCGACGAGTCGTCTACTCATTGTATATTAATGAGTCTATCTCAGATATTGATTGCTATTTATATAATCTTCATAATTTCAAAGCTTTGCGCCGAGACAGAGATAGGTAAGACGATCAGACACTAGCGGATACTTTCGTATTTATTTATACACGGTAAAAGGTTCAAGTTCGTTAACTCATTCAATCGCAA